CCTGACATATTGTAATGTAAACCTCATATGCAGTTATACAGTTTTATTTTGGTTATAAAGTGGGAGTAATGAGAAAAGCATTGTCTTAAATATAGACCATCTGTGGATTCAACTTCTGTTCATATATCTGTCACTGAAATATGTTTATAAAATTATGATTGAAATTACATACAAATTATTCATACTGTAAACAACACTTATTTTGAGAGAGACAAGACTTCTCTGATTTCACATCGGTGAAAATCATGAATTTTATAGCAATGACAATTTCCATGGGGTTCTACTTCGAGTGTCAGTAACTTTTGTTAAACCCTAAAATTCTGAAATCAGGAAAAAGTTTCAGCAGTGAAAATTAAACGGTTCACAGCATATCACTATAGACAGCATGTACTACTTTGGTAGTCATTACCTATTTACGTACATATCTATTTCATTAAATTAAATTTTGATGAAATGAAAAAGATACATTGTATGAAACTGAATACATATTTCAAACATTTTTAAAAGTAGGTACCAGATTGATAATTTTAAATTGCTGACCTTGAGTAGAAGAAGTTTGTACTAGTATATTTGGACTAGAATCATGTTGGTTTTTAATTACCATACCGTACATAAGCCCTCCCCGAGTATAAGACCACCCCTCTGTTTTTAGACATTTAACAGTTGAGGGCATCCCCGAGTATAGACCCAGGGTGTTTTTATCGGGCATCGACAACATTTATTAAAACATGCATGTAAAAAGTGTATTTTATTGCATAAAAATCGTGATTGGTACAGTAGTTTGGTTCCTGCTTTTACAAGAAAACTTGCATTAATATCAGAGTGCAGCATGGCGGGCGAACGTAGGGAACATGGTTCCCACATTTTCTATTCTGTTATTTACCCAGGATGAAGTCTGATGTTGCAATACTGAAGTAATCCATATTTCTTTTGAGTAGTAGTTTTCGAAACGCCAAAATGTGATTGTCAAGTCGTGAAACCTGGTCATAGAACATTGTTTTACTTTTCTGAATAATCACGTCTATTGAGATTATCATGAATGGATATGAACGTGCAAACTACTCATCGACATGACTTGTTAGTGACCGTGAAAGGTTTAAATACTTATTCTACTCTCAGTTTACCTTTCAAAAATTTTGAATTTAGAGCAAAGTGTTAACAGGTCGTATTTTAACATTGCGGTAATTCACTTCCGCATTGCGTTGAAAAATAATCTGAAAACTTCATCTGTATGACAGCATTTTGATTGGTTAACGAAAGACGCGACCTCAAAGGACGTCAAAGGAAGTTGTTCAGGTCAAATCATGATGAAAAACGCCATTGCGAAAATTGCTTTGTAACAAGAGTTTGCATACGATCGATAACATTCCGCAACAAGATAATGAAAATATCTAGCCTTCGACAGTTTCCCACAGACCCTACCCATTTTTACACTGTAAATTCAGATGATATGTAAACCCTATTGTAATAAATTGGTGTATTTTTATGAACATATTTATTTCTTCATTGTAAAAAGTGTTGTAAACAATTATTTTTCCCTGAGACCGGCACTGTGAACGAAAAATGTAATTTGGATAATTTTTCATGGTTGGGAAGATGGTTAAAATTTTAAACCCACCAAAAACGCATCTTTTCTGAGGTGGTCCTCGAGTATAAGCCCACCCCCTAATTTTCCCGACTTTTACATGTTCAGGACCCTGGGCTTATACTCAGGGAAGTACGGTACATGTAGTCTAGATATATAGAATAATGCTGTTTAGTAAATATGACCTTTGACCCTGCTGATATAAAGCTTGGAGTACAGATACATTTATGTAACCACAGTTCCTCTATCATCGGTCTGGCAATGCCTATTGTTTTAGGTGTGAAATGGCTTATCCCCTGGCACCAATGGCTTACCCCTGAAGTCAACGGCTTATCCCCTGGCACCAATGGCTTACCCCTGAAGTCAACGGCTTATCCCCTGGCACCAATGGCTTACCCCTGAAGTCAACGGCTTATCCCCTGGCACCAATGGCTTACCCCTGAAGTCAACGGCTTATCCCCTGGCACCAATGGCTTACCCCTGAAGTCAACGGCTTATCCCCTGGCACCAATGGCTTACCCCTGAAGTCAACGGCTTATCCCCTGGCACCAATGGCTTACCCCTGAAGTCAACGGCTTACCCCTGAAGTCAACGGCTTACCCCTGAAGTCAACGGCTTACCCCTGAAGTCAACGGCTTACCCCTGAAGTCAACGGCTTACCCCTGAAGTCAACGGCTTACCCCTGAAGTCAACGGCTTATCCCCTGGCACCAATGGCTTACCCCTGAAGTCAACGGCTTATCCCCTGGCACCAATGGCTTACCCCTGAAGTCAACGGCTTATCCCCTGGCACCAATGGCTTACCCCTGAAGTCAACGGCTTACCCCTGGCACCAATGGCTTACCCCTGAAGTCAACGGCTTACCCCTGAAGTCAACGGCTTACCCCTGAAGTCAACGGCTTACCCCTGAAGTCAACGGCTTACCCCTGAAGTCAACGGCTTACCCCTGAAGTCAACGGCTTATTCCCTGGAACTAACAGCTTATTCGCCTGACATGGTCACTTGAGTTGGGCCCTCTCCGTGGTGCTCCAAACGCAACACTGGCCTGACAGAACCATGTAGTTTTTCACTTCCCCAACGTTTTTTTGTCAACACAAATCAAATTGAGAGAATACATGTGACCATTCACGGCAGAGTTTATTTGTTTGTTGAAATAATGTGTGATAAGGTGCTGGCAAATTTGTTAAAAAGTCTAATTTTTGCCGACAATGTAAACATGGCTTTGACTGTGTTACTATGACCACGAAAATAAATATTCATTGAAATTCATTGCAAGAAGGCTTAAAACTTTACAAATTCACAGTACTGATCTTGCCGACAAGACATACACTATTCTGTCAGACGTTAGGGGGGTCTGATGCTGTTCGCTGGCGAGGGCCGTAATGGAATATGGAACTCCAGTAAAGCATAGCCATACGCAAGAATTGCATTGGTTGTCAGTTTCAAGCTTGTCATTATTCGCCTTGTCTTGTTCTCCAACATTTTTTTACCCAATATCTCACCATCATCCTTGACAGACAGTGGTCTCACCTGTTATAATTGTTCCAGAGGGACTATGTATCAAGATTAGAAATATTGCAACCACAAAAAAACAATATATGTTGTGAAGATGACAAGCTGAAATTTAAACCTCACACTTAAAAGGCCTTTGTGAAGCACCAAGGGCATGAAGGTGTGGCTATTCAAATTGAGGGTGTTAACTCCATGGCTGTCAAAATGTTAATATAGTGTTTAAGTAAATATTATTCTAAAATAAACGGTAGTTTATTATCCATCATTGTTACATAAAGGTGATTGGCAATAGTTTATTGACAAGGGACTTTGACAAGGTTCAACAAGGTTTTCAAGGAAATTTTCATGAAAATTTGGAAATTTGGCATACCGGTACAATCTGTACTATGATATTCATAATTGTAAATTGCTAAAATAATGGATGTTTTCTATCTATCTATCTATCTATCTTGCAACAGTGAAATATTCAGGTTTATTGGATCATTCTCATCAGAGAGGTTGTCTGTATGGTGATTGTACACATTATGATTGCTGTTGTTTTAGGCCAATTATATACTATAAAATACATACTTTATTTTAGCTGGAATAAATTTTCACTGAGAAGACTTTTTTGGTGTTTTGTACTGATTTTTGACGAGTTGAATGTGAAATACAGGAAAAATGGTATATTCGCTGGATTTTAGTTTCACTGAATCATTCCTTCAGTGAAAATAATAAAAATTAATTCCAAGCGAAAATAAAGTATTTTACAGTAGTCTGAATGGGGTTTAACAGTAGGGCAGTAAAAAAAATTGGAGGGTAGAACATAACAGTTTGTTTGGCAATGAAGTATTTGCACACAGGTGTTGATGCATTCTTGAAACCACCTTCAAATACTGGTTGGAATTTATTGATCGGCAACACATGATGCAATAATTTCATTTGAAGTGTGGGAATCAATAATGAAAATAATTCATTCACAATGATATTTGTTCTCTAAGGAAATGTGCTGTACATGTTTTGTACTTTAATTCTATATTATAAGTGCATATGCTTACATAGAAACCAAAAACAGTCAACATAGCAGATGACAGAAATGGGATGGTGAACTTTAACAGAACCAATAACAACTACTAATGTTGTGAAAAAAGTAGTGAAACAAGTTTTTTTTTTTCAAGCAGGAAGTTAATTTCACTATTGTTAGACACAGCTCATTTACAAACTGGGCCACAACCATATATATATGGCAATGCACACAATAGATAATCTGTTAATTGGTGGAAGGAGCAATAGTTTGGCTACGATAAATGGTGCTGTGTAAACCTAGCAACACTGTACGCAGCGTGAGGGGGGGGG